CACTTAAGATACTCTTCATGATAAATTGCTACTCCGGATACAGGCAGGATTTCTGACCTTATGGCTGATATGAATCGGCTAGGGGGGTCGGGGCTGCGCCCACAACAACAACAGGCAGGATTTATATAGTTTTTTGACCTGCCTTCGAGAATATTCCGGGGAAAACCAATAATAATTCATTCTAGAATGTTCTCGCTCTCGTCATGGTATACCGCCAATTTTGACTCCAACTGGGCAATTTTGCGCCAAACCTAGCAACCATGCCCTTCCTTGCCACTCTCTGGCAACCCTAACCCATTTTGCGGAAGTTTTCTTGCTGCAGCAGCTGGGCATTTCGCAACGATATGAATGCAATTAAAAAAAACAAAGCATTATGTGTTTTAAGATGAAGAGTTGTTACTGATAGCTTCGAATGGATTATGTCTAATGCAGTAAGACAGCTGCTCCTCTAAGTTACGGACTTTTAATCTGCTCTAATCAATTAAAATACTTGAATTAAAAAATGGCTTCATAATTTCACATAAGAATGAAATTCGAAATTTGACGTTTAACAAGGTCCAATTCTGTTAGTCCACCCTCCGCTGAGTGTTACGAGTGTGTGGTTGTTCACGAGTTCATTTGTCCTTGAAAAGATTGACTGCATAAAAATTTTGCAGTTTTCTTCTTATGTCAAATACCGAGTCGTTGCCCTCAAAAATTCCCCATGAAAGCACCCATTACCTTAAACAAAGAGCTCTATCTCGCTGTTTGTCATAACTGTTTAAATAACAACATCCCAAATTGAGGTGAAAAACTGAAGGAATTTATTAAACTGTGAATTAAATATCGTGGTATTTGCACTTTTGTATTCGAGGAAGACACATGGCATCTGCAGGAACAGGGATTGCATGCTTCAGCATGTGCCCTAAATATGCAGCATGCCAATGACGGAGTTGAGAAAAATATGTCCGATATGCATTTAAATGATAACGTTATTTATTAGTTGTTTATCCACTACAAACGAGCACTGTGCTTTTGAATTATTATTAATTAAAAGAATGTTTGGAATTGAAGATACTTAGGAAACGTTGAATGGGGTTCGGGATCTTATTCATGCACACCTTGCACAAAAACAAATGAGACAGTTCTATATCTCCCGTTCGCATATTTCGTATGTGCACATCTGTATAGCCACCGAGGGAGTGGCTTCTCGAATGTGCCAATGGGCTTCCAGTAATATTTGTCATTTTACACGACCATTGACGCGCTTTAAGCAAAATGGTTAAAAACGTTTCGCAATTTTCTTTGCAAAATAATTAAAAGTACTCAGAATTTCTCGCGAAAATGTTTTCAGTCCGAATTTCGATAAATATAAGCATAATTACACGTGTAAATAGTAGAAGTCTTAGCAAGTTTTATTACAGCCTCTACAAAAAAAATCTCCATAATAATAACCAATGTACAGTTTTATTCAAGGTGAATTTTGCTAATCTGGATTCCTACACATTCAAAACCTAACGAATGCAAGATACGAAAGTACTAGATTCATTGTAACACTTCCTATTAGTAAACGCATAATATTCGAGGCTAATTGTATCTTGAGTTATTTTCTGGATATAAAGAGCGATAATATGCCACGAACATTAATCAGAATATCAATACCTGGTAAGTTTCACGAAAGTGAAATGTTGACGATTAAATGAACTTATAAAATAAAATCACAACGAGAATTTCTACTAAAATGGTAACAGGATTTATATGCATACATGTATAACTGGGTAGCAAATGTAAAGTAAAATGTAAACAACATGCGCTCATATCCAGAGTTTCGAAGACTCGGCGTCACAAGAGCAACAGAAGTTCATTGGTCCATTTTTGAAACCCCTCCCACAGTGGCGATACTGATGTGCACATGTGAATTATGCCTCTCGTTCTGCTGGAACGATTGTCGAAATTTAACTTACGTTTTCCATCTCTTGAAAGAGCGACTTAGGATATATATTAGATTTATATATAGTGTTATGTAGAGAAATTATCTGATAGCGTTATAAAAATTAGGTGAATGATTTTATGATTTATGGAAATCTTAATTTTTATTTGATTATGAATTATTTATTTTAAGGCTTTAATTTTGGGGAAAAACAGATGCTTCTGGGAATATTATTTAGTTTTAAAAGAGTATTATTTTTTTCCTTTATTTGTAATCTTGTACAAACTTTTATTCATTGTGAAAGAAGCAGGGAAAGGGAGGCAATTTTTGCCAAGTCATGATTTCGCGCGTTTTAGAATGTTCGAGAAAGAATTTTCATTGTTAGTTGACCTTAAGAGAGGAAAGTACGTGACGGAAAGTGTCAAAGGTTGCTACTTGTCTTTCAAATGTAAGTCATTCAGGTTTTTGGCGATTGAGGGTCCGGTTGTTGGCTAAGTGAAGAAGGGCGCGCATGCGCGATCACCCTTATTTCCGCATTCTGGAGTTGAAAACGAAGATTTTGCCATAATTAAGGGGGCGATAAGTGAAGCCATAGTGGGAGCCCATTTTGGGAAGGAGACGAAGGAAATTCGAGTTGGATACACACTTACTTTTTGGCTGACTCTCGGACTGACTCGCTGATTTTCGGGCTTGCTGGACTTACGGGCTTGCTGGACAAAAATGTAATTACGAAGAGAGATGTTTTCCGGCGGGGAGCGGCAAATATGCTCCCCGGCCGCGTTTTGGGTTAAGAGGCGACTCTCTTACGCCCTCACTTTTTGACGCACTCACTCTTGGACTCGCTGATTTTCGGGCCGGCTGGACTAGTGGACGTTGTTCTTGAAAACTGGCTTGAAGGAAATTCGAGTTGGATTCTCTCTCTTACTGACTGGCGGGTGGAACTTACTTGGGACGTTACTCGTGAAACTTGCTCTTGGGATGAGTAAGAACAGGCGAGCAGTAATTTCCTAGCAACAACGTTTCTCTGACCGGCGAAATTTGAACGAGTTACCTGCGTGTTGACATAGGACTTTCAGGACCAAGCGGATAGCCGTCCTGGGCAGCAGTGCTCCTGTTTCTGTTCTACAGTAGTGAAGTGGAGTCTACATTTTTAGAACCAGTGTCAAGATGAGCCCGGCCGACATCAACGCGGGATAAGATAAGAGTCCTCCGCTTCAAGATGTCCCTTCAAGATAAGTTTTATTTTTTTTTGGTTGTGTTTGAACTTTAGGCAAGCTTTTCAAAAAACGTCCTTAGCAGTAAAAAAAACAACGTCAAATCTAAAATTTAACTCTCAGGCCTTAATTGTTTCCCTTTCCTTTCTTTTAAATCACCAGACAAACCTTAAGTTTTTTTATGAATTTAAATGAACAGACTCTCAGATGAGGTTAAGATTTTTTCTTATTGTGTTGTAATTGAATAAACTGATATTTAATCTGGAACCTCTTACAGTATGTTTTCTTTACATATTTAATATGAACTTTTCCTTTATATCTTTTTATATGGTTTTATGTTTTCGATCCTCTCACGGCGCGGTCCCGGAATGCATTTTTTTTCACAACGCAAAATGCTGTACACGTTTCACTATACGATTACTACCTTTAACGGCAAGTAGTTTCATATTTAACATTTAACAATATAGGAATTTCAGATATAACATGGTACCTAGAAGTAAAACTATTTAACCTTGGTGTCGAAACATTCTTCATAACAATAGCATTGTTCTAACATAGGTATTTTGACACAAATTCGGACTTTTTCTGAAATAACATACACAAGTTTTTTCTATATTTCGATTCCACGACTCAAATTATGCCAAAGTGTCAAGTTTTGTAAAAATCATATGAGCAGTTTTTAAAAAATTATCTCTCAAAATTTTAGCTCCTCCATGTTAATTGAATTTGATATTTATTTATGAATCTTTTTTTTTTATTATTATTAAACTCATTTGATTCTTCCTTTCACATATCAAAATTTAGACTCATCTCAAATAAAATTCGCCTATTGTTTATGATTTATGTCTAAAATTTGTATTTTTAAATCATTTTTATAAATTTTTCCAAAAAATGTTTGTAATATAACCTATAAAAGTTTTACGATCATCTTAAAGAAAATGTACTTCTAAGCATACCTGAAAACAATTAGAGAGTTTTATTCAAAATCCCCTAAGATATACGTGAATTTATATATTGGCGTGTTTTGCGCCGCTTTGGGCTAAAAATATTTAAAAGCAGCATATCCAATAGATAGTCTCGCGCGCTAGAAATTAAAAAAAATTATTGCCTACAGTATTGCTACTGCTGCTTTGATATTGTTGAGTTTTTTTAATGAAAAATTCGTTAAAGGTTTAAAAAATATGAAATAGACAATAAAACAAATTCAAAATTTTTATTTCACAATGTGAGAAATATACATACATTTACGCAGATTCTTCATTACTTAGTTTCTTTAAATATAAGACAGAGCGATAATATTTGGTGGCAGCAATTCGGAATATAATTCAACTCTTTTAGTGATTCGGCGCAAAACACCGTTTGGAGACTAATAACCCTTCTGGGCTCACTCCCATTTGGACTAAAAACATTTACCGAAATGGGCCAAAAAATTACTTCCTTTGTATTTATTGGTGGATACCGAATAACCAACAAATATCGCGAAAAGATTCCTTTTAAAATATTGCATCTCTTAAACTGCATTCAGTTTTCTTGCTGTTTCAGTTATTTGTAAGAACATTTTGAAACAAAACTAACTTAAATAGGATTTGCGTGTGTTAAATTTTATTGCTTATTACAACTCTGAAAATTTCGGAACTTCTTATGCTATTCAGATCACAGTAAATAACGAATAACACCGATTTATCTGGATAGCACATATTGTTAATCAGTTAATAGTTTTACACCTCGTACTGCAGTTAATGATTTTTTTTATATAAATATTTCTCATTTGCTTATTTCTTTCATTGTAATGAACTTACGATTGTTTTGTAATGCGTTGTTAAGATGTAGAGTCATTAGGTATTTTTTTGAAAGCAGACAAGATGAAAAATAGCAATCGCCTTCGCCGGGAATCGAACCACGGACCTCTGGAATACTGGCCCAGCGTGCAGAAACCACTACACCACGAAGGCACGCTAGAAAGGTGGGAGAAATACCTTACATACTCCCCCTTTTTAAAGGGCGACTGGGTTTTTAGAGGACCCAATCGCCAAATCCTGGGTGTGGAGATTCATCATCCACGACCCTTTTTAGTTCGGGTGCCACTGTAGGGACAAAGCGGGCAAGATGAAAAATTAGCAATCGCCTTCGCCGGGAATCGAACCACAGACCTCTGGAATACCGGCCGAGAGTGCTACCTTTACACTACGAAGGCACGCTAGGGAAGTGGGAGAAATACCTTATAAAGAGAGCAGCATAACTGTATGCATATTGTGTGTAACTAATATGAAATAAATAAACATTTATCACACATGCACATTTCATATCAGTAAGGTTAGAAATCTTAAGCAAAGGAATAGCCTGACCAGCTCAGGGAAATGCCTGGACTACAAAAATTACACAGATTCAGAATTTGGTATAACCAAAATTCGTGCGTTATGGAGATGAAAAGACTTTGGGAGAAAGGAATCGTTAAAAAAATACCTGTGACGTTTCGCATGTCAAATATATCACCTTCAAATTATCGAAACAAGGAGCTAGTCTTTCCACCATGAAAGACAATGAGAGGAATATCTTTAATATTCACACTGCCACTGGAAAAGGGACTATGCAAATCATTGAAAAATCTAAGTCTGGTGGACTAATTATTGACTACCATTTTAATTTTACTTCAGGTACCAGATGTAGAAAAGAAAGGAATTTAAGAGCAGGAAACTGTGTCCTCCTGAGAACGGCTGAATTGATGTGTTCACCGTTACATTACCTAAACACACGACAAGAATACTTTTACCGATTTGCAATTAACTAGAGATGTCTTATGCATTCGTTTCAACTTCATTTTTAGGCATTATATGAATCGCTATATGCCGAGAAGATGCATCGACAAAGACCGATAAGTCCATAGCTTTCTCAGTTGCTATTTGGTGATTAACTATATAAAACCAACCAAACGAGAGCCACATACCCAAAGGGGGAGGCCATTTAAGAAGATTTTCTAAAGGAAATTTTTTCATATTTATATTACACATGAGATATACAACGAAACATCCCTGCAGTTAGATTGTTTCTGATGTTTGAGCCCAGTTTAAGAACCATAACTTGCTTGTTTTCTAAAGTCATATACAAGTGAGAACTTTCTCTGTCTCTTGACTTGTTGTTTTTAGCGCAATTGTGGCAAAATCCTTATTTACTAAATCAAGATACTACTAGTATTTCATCTCCTGCACGACGAGTATTTAGAATGCTATTTTGATAGCAAGCATGCTTCAGAAAATATGAAATAAATCAAACACTGCTTAAAGAGCCACTGTGCCTATACCGAAACTCACTACGGCAGTTTTATTAAGAAGTGCCTGAACGTTTCAACAGAAATTTCCGTGGCAAGCATTTTTACAGACACCAATTTGTTAATTTTGATGATTTGAGCAATTTGAAGTCATTTGAAACTCAAACTTAGAAACTCGTAGATCGCTGAAATCATCACTTCAGACCTTTTTTGTGATTGCTTGATAAATTTGAATTAAACGGTCCATTTGTCACATACGGCAGATTCCTAGAATTGTTTTATTTATCTAGCAATCTTATGGAGCTTTGAACAGATTAAATAAGTGACGAAAGTTATAATAGTATATAGTTATAATAATAATTATAGTTATTTGTAAAAGAAACAAATTTTCTTTGTTGAACAAATGGACTCAAGCAAATATGATAAATACGAAACCGTGGAAAAACTTTTGTAAAATTAGCGGTTGTGTTTCAAATATTGAAATCAAATTTTATCTTGATCATTGATACATGATGTAACTATGTACTTATGCTTATTAATTTCCAAAACCATTTAATTTCATTTTCCATTCAGGTAGTAGTATCTATATACTCAACGACTAAATGCTTCCAGTGATAAATCTGTTACTCAAGATTATGCTATTTGATTTAGTTTCATATGGCAAAGCACGCTAGGATTATCTGCCTAAAAAAAGGATGCTTTCATGAAGATTTTTCTAACAGAAATTCTTTCGTATACACATGGGAAAAATTATGAAAATGTCCATGCAGCCAGGCCGTTCGTCTGGAATAGAACCCAAGTCGAAACTGCAAGTTTTCCGCGGTTTTACAGCTCGGCCGCTGTGCTTTTGGATACATTAAATTAAACCCAGCTTTCTCTAATATATTACACTTTTTTATAATTTACGTGGGCATTTATATGTTTTTATTTTAAGAGTGTTCGGAATATAAAGATGTTTAAATCATTTTTATTCAGATAATACAACTGCTGCTAAATTTCACTAAGCAACTGTTTAGTTTGCGGTAGTAGAATAGGTTAAACAATAAAATATGTTATTTGGATACATAACATCTTTGCCAATAAATCCTTTTCGCGCTTAACAACATAATTTTAAGTTTCTAAAAGTGAATTTTTTTAGTAAGCCCCCATAAATGATATAAGTTTAACATTATAAAAAATCGCGTCGGAGTAATTTAGGTTAAATACAGCAATTAAATGAAATGAACCTCTTCTTTTTATGTTCGTCTACTAAAAATCATTAGATAACATCAATCTGAGGTGAATGTTAGACACGAGAGAGGTGAATGTTAAATACGAGACAGTTTTAATTAGAAATTATTTCTAATATGATATATTCAATGTGCTAATGTCCTTCCTTAATAAAGAAAATCTTTTACTCCAGTATGAAATACCTGTAATTTCATAAGAGCTTTCATATAATATTACAGCGTTCATCAGTGTTTTATGTAATGGAATTTTATTATTCATAGCAGAATAATTTTCTCCAGTTATAACTATTAAACTTTTAGAAGTCCTTTCTTAAAATATAAGTATAAAATGACCTCAAAATTATAATATATATGTTACGGTGAAACACCGAAATCTAGAGAATGTCGACTTTCACCGGTGAATGTCAACATTCACATAGTCTCTTGGTGTATGCCGAAATATTTTCCAAATACTCTTATTTATGAGTTACACCGGTCAATGTCGACATTCACCATGTACTAATGGTGAATGTTGAACATATAACAATATTATATTTTCTTCTCCGTAACTCAGTCGCGAATAAACGCACTTGAGACTTGAAATAAGAACATGAGAATCTAAAATACACAATACATTCAAAATGAGAAAGGAAAATAATAGAAGTTAAAAACTTACTTAATTATACAGTACGTTCTAAATGAGAAAATAAAATAACAGTAATAAAAACCTTACTAAATTATGTGATTCAAATCTTATTTATAGCAACAATTTAAACTATTATGGCACTTTATGACCTCTCTTTTCGACTTTCACCAGAGCATATATGTGATTGTCGACATGTGAGTTTCGTGTAATAGCTGCTATAGTAAACAAAAATTAGACTTAGCCGTACTTAACAACTTTTAAATTGTTTACAATTCTACAACTATTGATTGCAGACTAACTAATGACATAAAAACTTTAACCGTAACATAAGAACAACACAGTTCAATCATTTTTAAAGCAAAATATGAACAATTTACCAACACATAAGAATTTAAAAAAACTGAGCTCACGGAGCCGAGTAACAGAATGGGTATATATATATATATATATATGTTACGGTGAAACACTGAAATCTGGAGAATGTCGACTTTCACCGGTGAATGTCAACATTCACATAGTCTCTTGGTGTATGTCCGAAATATTTTCCAAATAACTCTTATTTCTGACTTACACCGGTCAATGTCGACATTCACCATGTACTGATGGTGAATGTTGAACATATAACAATATTATATTTTCTTCTCCGTCATTGAGTCGCGAATAAACGCACTTGAGACTCAGAATAAGAACTTAAAACACACAGTACATTCAAAATGAGAAAGGAAAATAATAGAAGTTAAAAACTTACTAAATTATGTGATTCAAATCTTATTTAATGCAACAACTTAAACTATTATGACACTTTGAATTGCACAAAAGTCCCTTGCTTTTACAACTGTATTTATTTGTGAAACACTTCCTTTCGCAATGACAGCGTGTATATATACTCCTCTCTTTTCGACCTACACCACAGTATATCAGAGCATTGTCGACATACACCGGTGAGGGTCCGAATGTACAAGAATGTAACGCAATATTCGATCGTTCACCGACGTATTTGGTGAATGTTGACATTCTCCGGCGAAATTAGACATTCTCCAATTTCGGTATTTCACGGTAACATATCTACTACAGTTCATAACGGAATATCTGTACTAGAGTAGATAGAATGGGTTAAATATTCTACTACAATACAGATATTCCTTTCAAGCGCACGACCACCAGTGGCCAGGCGGTAAAATCGCTGAACACTGGTAGTTCCAACCTAGGTTCGATTCCCGGTAAACGAGCTGGCTGAATGGGCGTTTTCGTGGTTTTCCCCATGTGTAACGTGCAGACGAACCATTTTCCCTTAGAAAGTCCTTCACGAAGACATCTCTTCCCTTAGGCAGATAGCCCTAGTGTGCTTTTCCATATTCAACTAAACCAAACCTTCTAGTGTAGAACAGTTTTGCTTCTTGAAAAAGAGAAATCCCATGGTTGGTTCTTACAAAATGTAAGATTTCTTAGGCAGCCAGGCTAAAGTTAACTAAACTTCAGTCTCAGACTGAATTTTGACTAAGTTTAACATTCAAACTGATGTGTTTCTTTCCAATATAGGGAACTGTGATTTCTGTCCGAAAAGTATCAGATTGAATTTCAGGTACGCATCTTTTGAAATTAAACACTAACTGTAAAGAAAGCTTTGGGAAAGCGAGGAGTCTTGAAAATTTAGATGAATTTAGTCTAGGTCAAATACGAAAGCTCTAAATTGTCAAACGGTCTAGTTAACACTAGAGCCGCCCCATATCTACAAGCTACCCTCAACAGCGCGTCAAAAGAAATATTTACAAGAGTTTTTGTTTTCTGAATATCTAATTGGTTGACTTATATGAAAACCAGTTCTTTGGAGAA